GGTTTTTTGTGGTGGTTGTGGTGGTGGTTTTTGTGATTTTTTTTTATTGGCCGTTTGCGCGGGGGCGGCGGGTGTTTTTTTTTTTTGGTTTTTTTTTCTTTTTCCCCCCCCCCCCCCCCCCTCTTCTGAGTATGTGCTTGGAGTTGTCAGGTGCTAATGGAGATATCTTTTGAACAGCACATTGGTTGGCCGTCGAAGGTGTACAACCGTCCATTCCTCAGAATCCTACCGCCGCCGATTCGCGAAACCTGGAATTGATGTCCAAGGGTCCCAACGCCAACTCCACCCTGGCGGCTATGAGCGGCAGCGGGAATGTGGCCGTCAAACCGCTGGTGAAGCACGTGCTGTCGAAGGAGCTACAGCTATACTTCGAGAAGGTTTGCAACGCGTTCCTGGACGAGTCCAGCGAGGAGTACCGCACGTCGGGCTACTCCAGTCTGCGGGAAGACCCGGGACTGCATCAGCTGGTGCCGTACTTTGTGCAGTTCATCTCCGAGAAGGTCACCCACGGCATGAAGGATATCTTTATCCTAACACAGGTAATGCACATGGCCGAGGCGTTGGTGCAGAACAAATCGCTCTACGTGGACCCTTATGTGAGTAGCACACATACCCTCTGGATGATGGTGATGTCTGTCGAAGAATGTCGTGATACTGATTGGTGCAGGTTGCATCCCTCGTCCCTCCCATCCTGACCTGCCTGATTGGCCGACAACTCGGCGGAAATGCCGAATTGTCCGAACAGTTTGCCCTACGAGACCTGTCTGCGTCGCTCCTCGGCCTCATTGCCAAGAAATACTCCCCCTCGTCGATGACGCTGAAGCCGCGACTCGTTCGATCGTGTTTGAAGACATTCCTAGACCCGTCGAAGCCGTTTGGCGCCCACTACGGCGCCATCATCGGCATCCACGCGGTTGGCGGCGCGGAGGCGGTGCGCGTCCTGGTTTTGCCCAACGTGCCAACATACGGAAACCTCCTAAAGGACGGCATGGCCGACGAAAGTGCGCGGCGGCCGGAGGCCGAACGGGTCTTTGGAGCCCTTCTCAGCGTGCTGGCCACCTTGCGGGAGGGACGCATGGCTCTGGCCAACGGCGACGGCGGAATAGTCACCGACGAGGTACGGCAGCGACTTCACAAGGCCGTGGGGGAGTTCATTGGTAGCAAGATTAGCGAACTGGGCGAGGTGCAGCTGGCGCATGCGATTCTTGACTCATAAGATTTGTTATTTTTTTTGGTTCCTTCATCTTGTTTTTCTCTGTTTCTTTCCTCCCATTCGAATATCCATAGAGCTGGCGGTGGGACAAGCATTGTCATCGAGATACAATTCTCTTGGGGTCCGGTGCGTTCGAGGCGTTCAATCGGCATATTTCCTTTTCATGTTCTTTATTTTATTCTATTTTTCTTCCCCCCCCCCTTTTCAATTTCGCCGTCAGAAACATAGGGGATCCAGTCCATATCGAATCCCATAATATTGGCACAGTGGGGGTGTGTGTTTAAAGGGTAACACAAGGATAAGAAACATGTCGCGTAACACGACGTCGTAAAATGATCCCACAGGATGTCGAGGCAGTTCAGCCGAGCTCTATGGCTGCCTCCGTCTTAAGGCCGCCCGGGCCTGTCGATCCTTGGTTCCTGAACGACGTCACCGGCTTATGTCATCCCGTGTCAAGGCCCGACCGCTTTCCCTTCTTGGGTGGCGGACAGACCAACACCGCAGAAAAAATAAAGAAAATACAGCGGCGGCGGATTGTCGCACGACCGGTTTCTCTCTCGTCTCTCTCTCTTCTTCCTCTTCTTCCCCCCACCCCACTTTTTGCCATCTCCATCTTCCACTTGCTCTACTCGCAGAAAGGATCGCTCTTTTCTTCGGAACTGTGTGGCTACATCTGATTCTCAGTAAGTCCAATCAATTGTCTTTGCGCTTTCTTTTTCTCGTTCTAGTCGGTCATTCCCAGTCGATCGCATCTGACAGATCAGGCCTGCCTGCCCAACTCAAAACTTCCGGTCCGTTGGCGCCCCGCGACTTTTTTTTCCGGGCCCACACATTGACCAGCCAGAAATATTCCTTTATTAAATATCCAAGTTCCCATCTCGAAGGAACTTCCCCTCCCCAAGTCGTCTTCTCTCCCTCTCTTCTTTCCTCTTATAATACCCCTCCTCTTTCCACTCGAGACAAACTCAATTCGTCTTCATCGTGGTACGTTTGGCGGTCTCTTGCAGATGTCAAACCTCGTAGCTTCTTGCTACATCGTGCTGCTCTGAGCCCGATCTAGGTCCTGCCTTCCATGAACCCGAAGGATCTACTGCGATACCTGTCTAAGCCCGCAAAGTAGGTGGTAATGCAATCCGGTTCCCCGGTCAATTGGTGTTGCGCCTGCTAATTTTCCACCGTGTTGGTGGTCCGCAGGCCTCGATAACACGCCCCACGTTGGACGTCTTTTCTCTATTCACTTCGCTTCCTCTTTTCAACCCCTCTTTCTCTTAAATCAAAAAGCAGATCTCCTCGTCTGCCAGACCCGATACTTTTACCGGTATCGGTATCTTCCAGCACGAGGGTTCAACACCGATAGTCACAATTCCTTTCGCCAGAGGCATTTTTCTCCTCTCCCTCTCCTTTCGCCCTCCCTAGCAGCCCTACGGCTCCTCGGTTGAACTTTCTCTCTTTGGCTGTGTGCCTCATTCCTCACTCGATCGATCAAGGGCCTTCTCTCTCAGGCGGACATCTCCCCCCTTTGTTCGTCTGGGCAGCAGATAGTGCTTCCTAGGCTTCCTTGTCCTACGGTCCACAAATTTCGAGTCGCGCAACTTGACAGCTTGTCTGTTGCGTATATCCGTTGATACTGCCCTCGCCGCGCATCGCTCGCATAACTACAATCTCTGAATCAACAAAGATGGTCTACATTGGCATTCCCAAGAATTACACCGCTTCGCCGTCGTCTTTCGCAGGCACCCCGTCTTTGACGATCAACCATGCGGCGGCGCAGGATCTCGACTCCACCAATGCTTTCGAAGGTATGTCATTTCTCGTCTGTTGTGTTCATGCGATTCCTGGCTTTGTGCTGACGAGTGAATAGGTCCCGAGAAGCTTCTCGAGGTCTGGTTTGCGCCGTCCGCCGAGTCCCTGGGACCGGCTAAGCCTGCGGGTTTGAAGGCAGTGCCGGAGGAGATCTGGAAGGACATGCTGGATCTGGTCAATTGCCAGGTGCTGTCCATCGTCTCCTCGGAGGACGTGGACGCCTACCTGCTTTCGGAATCCAGCATGTTTGTCTGGCCTCACAAGCTGATCCTCAAGACCTGTGGCACCACCACTCTGCTGTCTGGTCTGCCCCGCATTCTTGAGATTGCGGCTCTATTCGGCGGCTTCCCCAAATCGACCGCTCCCTCTTCGCGGGGAATCGACGTGGCCGCGGCCCCGTACCGTGTGTTCTACAGCAGGAAGAACTTCCTCTTCCCCGACCGTCAGCGCGGTCCCCATCGCAGCTGGAGAGACGAAGTGCGTACCATGGACCGGCTTTTCCTGAACGGCAGCGCCTACATGATTGGCAAGATGAACGGCGAGCACTGGTACCTGTACCTGACTGAGCCCCACACCCTGCTCACCCCGCCGGCGAGCCCTAAAGCCGCTTCGGACGACGGTATGACCGAGACCAAGATCTTGCAGATCCCCGAGGGTGCGGCGCCAGTGGTGGACAAAAATAACAATGATGAGACGCTGGAGGTTCTGATGACCGACCTGGAGGAAGAGAACGCGAAGCAGTTCTATCTCGAAAATGCCACGGCTGTTGCGGAGAAGCGCTACCGCAACTTCGACAAGGAACAGGATGAACATGTCGACGTGTTCAGCAACAACTCGGACATGGATGACCTAGGCTCGGACGAAGGCCGTATCCTGCCTCCAGAGCTGACGACGGAAGGTCACGCGCTGGGCACCGTGGTTTCCGAAAACTCGGGCCTTTCGGACGTGTACCCCAAGGACAAGTTCCCGGACTCGCGCATCGATGCCTATCTGTTCACGCCCTGCGGGTTCTCTGCCAACGGAGTGATTCCGTCTCCCGACCAGAAGCTGGGCACGCACTACTTCACGGTGCATGTGACTCCCGAGCCGCAGTGCTCCTATGCGTCATTCGAGACCAACGTGCCGCACTCCCAGAATGGGCAGACCACGGCCGACATCGTGCAGCAGGTGGTGGAGATCTTCAAGCCCGGTCGCTTCAGTGTTACTTTGTTCGAGGCCACGGATGGTGAGGATGCCGGTCACCTGAGTCGCCGCAGCAGCCGCATGGAAAATATGAAGGGGTATCGTCGGGTGGACCGGATTGTCCATGACCTGGATGGGTATCAGCTTGTGTTCCGCTACTACGAAAGGCTTGACTGGAAAGGGGGCGCTCCTCGTCTCGGAGAGGAGTGCGTTTGAGCTACGCGGACACCAGAGCAATCCATCTAGTCATGCGATCGTCTAGTTCTGGAGGATTTTATTTTTCTCTTGATTTTGTCTTGCGGTAATCTTTCATTTTGTCATCATCCAACTTCTTGTTCATTCTTTCCCCGTGAGATGCACATTATTGATGCTTCATTCTTAATGGTTATCACTGCCTTGTCATATTTTATGCCGTTTCAGCATGTTATTCACTACAAAATACTGGACCTCTGTACTTTCATTCCGTCCATAGTCTGATCTTCTAGCCAGTAAGCGAACGAAGTCAATTTTGCTTGACAGTATTCTGTGATTGTAAGTAAGGGTCTTGCCTTTAATTGATCTGATAGATCGTGATAATACGTAGAATAAGACGTAGCATACTGGGTATGGTTGTAGGGGGTAAGACTCAAGAAAAACAAAAGAGATATCCCCTTTCAGTGTGTTCTCTACTCCGGTACTGGACCCCTGTACTTCTTTTCCTATAGTCCAATAGTCTAACCACAAAGTGCATGAAAGTCAATTGAGCGGTGCTTACTTGACAGTATTTTGTGGGTTTTAAGAGTCTTTAAATGATCTGATAGATCAGAATCCTACGCAGAAAAAGTTGTAGTGAGCATACGTAGGGAGTACTCCGTAGAAGAAGGGCCAAATCACATGCCAAGAGCGGCCACGGGATTTGCCGCATCGGAGCGGAACTTCCATCATTCAATCAACATTCAATTCCTTCATTCACCTCTTCATCAACTGACCCCCCTCGTCTCCGACCTCTACGACTTGGCCATCCTATTTTAATTTGTACAACACAACCGGCCGCATCGGAACGACTCATCGAGACCATTACTACCGGAAATTAATCCGCGTGAACCGACCGCCGACTACGATTTGCACGCGCAACCAGCCAGCTCCATCGAAGTCGGCCTTATACCTCACCTCCCCATCCGAGCTGTCGCTCAACCCAGTGACTAAACATTCATTACAACTTTTTCTTTCGTCTCGTCGACTCTGACGCGATACATACACATATACACATACATACATACAAACACACCACCATAATGTCCTCACCACCACCCCCGCCAAGCAACCCCCTCAAACGACCCTCCATCTCCTCGTCCGCCTCCCAGCCACTCGGTGGCGGCAGCTCCAAGCGCGCCCGCATGCACCCTCTCCGCCAGACCTCCTTCCCGACGACCATCGACGCCGACTCGCGCGCCTTCGCCAGCGCCGCCAGCGACGCCGGGAGCGTGACGGGCAGTTTCACGGGGAGTCTGGGCGGCGCGAGTGCGGACGGGGTGTTTTCGGGCACGAAGGCCAAAAAACGTGGGCGCAAGAGCAAAGCCGAGAAGGAGCGCGAACAACGCGAAGATGCGATGAGTGCGCGTGGTGGTGCAGAGACGAGGTCGCGGTTTGGGTCCGTGGATGCCGATGGGCAGTCTGTGAGAGGGGGACAGGGTACAGCAGGAGGAGGTGGTGGTGGTGTAGGGGGTGGGGAGGATGCTGATGATGACGAGGACTTTGATGATGAGGGGGAATTGCTGGGGAGGGAAGAAGGGGCTACCGATACGGAAGCTGAGAAGAAGAATCTTGCGTACGTATTTTCTCTCCTTTTTTCTTTTTTGGGGGGAGGGTGGGATTTTCTGCCTTGGAGGGCTGAAAAATGTTGATCACTTACGGGGGTGTGGAAAATTTTTTTTTTTTTTTCGGTAAAGTGGCTCACATGAAAGGATGCGTTCTTTTTTATCATTGCAGGTTGCTGGTGGATGCGTTCAATCCTCTACAGTCGGAGCGATATGATCTGT